TAAAATTGATGACGGAAGGTATATTTCTATCTCATAAGTCAGCAAACACTACAAATTATGGATTTCTCCTTTGCACTGTCAACTCCTCACATACCACTGCACCTCAGTAGTGTGTGCACTCATTGTGCCGTGATTCACACAATTTGACAAAGACATGGGAAAAAACAGTGAAACAGACTGACATACTCCTTGTTCTCATAGACCTGAATAGTTTTATGTAGTTAAGATGCTGGAATTGCACTCAAAGCTAGGAAAGACTCTCTTCCCCTGAGATACACCCCTAGCTTGCCTTATTCTTCCTTTATTCTTTCTATCTACTTTTACATGTTCTATCCATTAATACATTTCTATTTTACATGGTAGTGCTAGTTCCATTTCCTAAACTTTAATTTTCATTTATCAGAGAAACAAATTCACTAAATAAGAAAAATCTAAACCATTCCCTGTATATTGTCTTCTCAATTATATTTCAAGCTCCTTCAAAGAAGCCAAGTTTCACACGTTTTTGGCAAGGTTTGCTTAACATCATGCACAATATGGATGACAGAAGTAGGAAGGTAAGGGAACACTCAATTTTTTGGAATTGAGAGAAATGCTTTTAACATTTAAATGGAATACTTTGGTTTATGCATTTTCCCCTAGAGCCTCCCAAATATTTGTAGGGCTAAGAAAAGGAGTATAAATGGAGGGTCCCAACTTGCTCCCCTCTCTTCTCTTTCTTCCCTCTAGCTGTCCTATAAGAAGGAAGAGCCACATTCATGAGCTTGGTAAGATAAACAAACCTCCAATTTTGTCTGACACTGAAGGGGTTTTGCAGGACCCAGAACTTCAAATACTAAAAATGGTATAGACCCAAGCAAATTAGGATTGGTTACCTGTATTAAATAAAAGGCTTATGCAGGCAGGTCCTGAGAGTGACAGCATCTGTGGGCAGAAAAAGTCAGACTTTGGAAATGCAAAGCATGGTCCAGTGAAGAAGAAATGTGTGGTACCACAAGACCTAGTACTGGGCATCTTCCTTTCATCTCATAGATCTCTCTCTGGGCATTATGATAGATTTTGGACAGGAAGTAGTAAAAAAAAATACAAGCACAATTTTTACATGAAAATTCTATGCTAAATTTCATTTTCTTTTCACATTTTATTGGTGCATTATGGTAGTACATAATGATAGGATTTGTTGTTACATATTCATTCATGCACACAATATAGCAATATCATTTGGTCAATATCACTCCCCAGCACTTCCTTCCTCCTGCCCCACCTCCTACCCCCTGGTCCCTTTCCTCTACTAGTCTCCTTTGATTTTCATGTGTTCTCTGCCTCCTCCCCACTTTTCTTTTCCTTTTTCCTCTCTAGCTTCCACATATGAGAGAAAAACACATGACCCTTAATCCTCTGAGTTTGGCTTATTTAGCTTAACATAATGTTCTCAAGTTCCATCCTTTTTCCTGCAAATGACATAATTTTATTTTTCTTATGGCTGAATATATTCCACATTTTCTTTATGAATTCATCTATTGATGTACATGTAGGCTGGTTCCATAGTTTGGCTATTGTGAATTATGCTACCATAGACATGGGACTTCATGAATCACCATAGTATGATGACTTTAATTCTTCAGGACAAATACCAATGAGTTGTATACCTGGGTTATATGGTGGTTACATTTCTAGTCTTTAGAGAAACTTCCATACTGTTTTCCATAGAGGTTTTACTAATGTATAATCACATGAAAAGTGTAGAAGTGTTTCTTTTTCTCTGTATCCTCTTCAGCATTTATTATTATTTTTATTCTTGATGACTGCCATTCTGACTGGTGTGAGATGAAATCTCAGTGTAGTTTTGATTTTCATTTCTCTAATTAATAATGATATTGAAATTTTTTTTCATATATTTGTTGGCCATTTGTATTTTGTTTGAGAACTGTCTATATAGTTAATTTCCCCATTTATTAATTGGGTTCTTTGGCTTTTTGAGGTAGTGTTTTGGGTTTTTTTAGTTCTTTATATATTTTAGGTATTAATCCTCTGTCAGAAGAGTAGCTAGCAAAGATTCTCTCCCATTCTGTAGGTTCTCTCTTCATGCTCCTAATTGTTTCCTTTGCTGGGCAGAAGCTTTTAAGTTTTATGCCATCCCATTTATCAACTCTTGGAATTATTTCCCTGGTATAGAAGTCCAATTAAGAAAGTTGTTGCCTGTACCTATATTCTGGAATGTTCACTTTAAATTTTCTTTCAGGAGTTGCATAGCTTCTGGTCTAATTCCTAGGATTTTAACCTATTTTGAATTGGTTTCCTATACGGYGAGGGATAAAGATCTAGTTTTATTCTGTTACATATGAATAACTAGTGTTTCCCAGCACCATTGTTGAAAAGGTTGTTTTTCTTCAATGTATGTTTTAGGCAAATTTGTCAAGGATCAGATGACTCTAAATGTGTGGGTTTGTCTCTGTCTCTTCTATTCTGTACCATTGGTCTATGTCTATTTCTATACCAGTACCATGCAGTTTTTGTTACTATAACTCTGTAGTATGATTTGCAGTTAGTTATTATGATGCCTTCAGCATTTCTTTTTTGGTTTAGGATTATTTTTTGCTATTCTGGGTTTTTTATTCTTCCAAATGAACTTTAGAATTTTCCTACTTCTATGAAGAATGTCATTTGTAGTTTTTATGGGTATTACATCAAATCTGTATGTTGTTTTTGGCTATTACAACATAAGGTCATTTTAACAATATCAATTCTGCCTATCTAGGAACATAGGAGGTCTTTCATCTTCTGAGGTCTTCCTCAACTTCTTTCTTAAATGTTCTGTAGTTTCTATTGTAGAGGTCTTTYACCTCCTTGGTTAGAATTATTCTTAGATTTTTTTTTGTTATTGTTGCTTTTTGAGGCTATCATGAATAGGATTGTTTTCCTGACTTCCCAGTAGGTTCATTGTTAGTATATAGAAAAGCTATTAATTTATATACAGTGATTTTGTAAACTGCTACTTTGAATTTGTTAACTCTAGGAATCTTCTGGTGGAGGTTTTTTTTTTCCTCTTCTAACTATAGGATAGTATAATCTGCAAAAAGTGATAATTTCACTTCTTCCTTTTATAGTTTTATTCCTTTCATTTCCTTCTCTTGTCTAATTGCCCTGGCGAGAATTTCTAGCACTGTATCAAATAGGAGTGGTGAGAGTGAACATCCTTGTTTTATTCCAGATTGTAAAGGAAATGCTTTCAGTTTTTTTCCCCATTTACTATGAAGTTGGTTTGGGTTTTTCATATACAGTGTTTATGATGTTGAAGTAGGTTCCTTCTATCTCATCTCTAGTTTCTCCAGTTTATGAAACATTTTTTTTAAAGTAAAATATCTTAAAGCACTTTCAAGTTATCATTTCTTTCTCTTTTTTGTAGTATTACAAAGCCCATCTTTCTGATATTTCCAATCGATTCATTATACTATAGTCAGATGATAAAACCTGTGTAAAGCTTTTCAAAAGYTTTGCTTTTCCTAACTTGATAAAAAGGGCCCCAAATTACATGCTAAGCACTCTCACACATTCTGGATTCATGCTATGTCATTCACCTCTTACAATCACATTGGCCTTACTTTAGTTCTTTAAATGTTCCATACTTCTTCCTGCATCAGATCCTTTGTATATTCTAGGCCCCATGTTCCAAAGTCACTACATGCAGTCTCTTCCCTAAGGAAGTCATTCCTGTCCACTTCTCCATCTAAATCAAGACCTAATCCCAGGGTCTCAGAGAACACTTTGTTTTACTCTCTAGCATATTTTGTACATTGTAAAATTATGATATATTAAATAATATTTAGATTACCATCTAACTCCTCTTTTAGACTTGTAAACAAGTGAGGGATAAAATTTACTTGCTGATTTAGCTCTGTACTCAAATAGTAAATAGAAGCTATTTGAGAAAAACAAGAAATAAATGAAGGAAAAGGAAGCAAGTAAGCTTCCATCTACTGTGAAAAAGTTTCCTATAATGGGAGTTTAAATTCTTCTATTCTAATAAGGTTCTTTTAAAAAGAAAACCTACCTCACTTTAATGGCAAGAGTTATTTTGTTACAACTATTTTTCTGCTCTGTTAAAGAGAAAGGATTAATAGAATATGTTCACATTGGCAGGATTCTGTTGCATGATATGGATTTATGAAATAACACAAAGAAATAAGGAGAGTTAAAAARTGCAAGTGACATTTACAAACTATTTATAAATTCTCTTATCCTCTTTTTCCTCCTTCCCTACCTCCTGATCCAAGTCTTAATATTTTACAAAATCTAATAAGATTAAACTCCTTTCCAGTAATGTAAAAGATGACTAAAACATGATCACTCTATATAATTTATAGCAGCTTTAATACTTTAAAAAGAGTCCGGGGGGCGGGGAACTTAGTTGGTATTTCACTTTCGTGAATACCATTTTGATAATTAAAACATCCCATTAGACCAAATAAGTTTGGTATCTATAAACAATTATTGAGCAACATATATAAGAACTGTCATTTCTCTTTATTCCTGTTTTCATTAGAGCCTCATCAGAGCACTCATGCCACACAATCACTTCATCCAGAGAGAGTGGTCATCATATTTTTCAAGAAAGAGGAACTGCTCTACAATTACTGACAGCAAGATACATGCTGTGGAAAATGGATTATTTAGCCAAACCACAGAGTACATAGAATAAGTAAAGGGAAATTTTGTAAGCTCTCAGAAGTGTGCACCTAAGGCAAAGCCCAAGGTCAAAGTTGCAAGCCCAAAAGCGCCAGCAGGAAGTAAATAGCTTCTGAGTGCTTGCAGCAAGTCAGGATTCCTTACCCTGCCCCCAACACCCCATCTGAGCGTCTGAAACCAATCCCACCAAGGCGGCGTGGCGCTGTGACGGAGGTTGAGGGGTCACRTCTTCACGTCTTAGATAAAACTCTATGGTTCCCCCGCAAGGGACGATGGGTAACGTATATACGGGCTCCCACAAGCCTCCTACTTCAACCCACCGCCGAGATTCTTTAGGTAGCGATGGGCCGCCGCCCTGCTCGCTGTTACCGGTATTGTAAGAACAAGCCTTACCCCAAGTCTCGTTTCTGCCGAGGTGTCCCAGATGCCAAGATTCGCATCTTTGACCTGGGTCGGAAAAAGGCGAAAGTGGATGAGTTCCCACTCTGTGGTCACATGGTGTCCGATGAGTACGAGCAGCTGYCCTCCGAAGCCCTGGAGGCCGCCCGCATCTGTGCCAACAAGTACATGGTGAAAAGTTGTGGCAAAGATGGCTTTCACATTCGAGTACGCCTCCATCCTTTCCATGTCATCCGTATCAACAAGATGTTGTCCTGTGCTGGGGCTGACAGGCTCCAGACAGGTATGAGAGGTGCCTTTGGAAAACCTCAAGGGACTGTTGCCAGGGTCCATATTGGCCAAGTCATCATGTCCATCCGCACCAAGCTTCAGAACAAGGAGCACGTGATTGAAGCCTTGCGCAGGGCAAAATTCAAGTTCCCGGGACGCCAGAAGATCCATATCTCCAAGAAGTGGGGCTTTACCAAGTTTGATGCTCACGAATTTGAAGACAAAGTGGCCAAGAAGCGCCTGATTCCTGATGGCTGTGGAGTCAAATACATCCCCAATCGTGGCCCTTTGGACAAGTGGCGGGCCTTGCACTCCTGAAGGCTTTGGCAGCACTGCCTCCATGGACTGTGCTAATTAATTAATTTTCCTGTTCATCAATAAATTATATTCACTGACAAAAAATGTTTAAATCTTTGTTTTTAAAAATGTTCAATTTTTAAACTAGAAACTAGTAGAGAAATAGTTTTTCATATTAATGCAGAATGTTGTAATTGAAAATGGAACTTTCCTTGTTTAAATAGAAAAAAATGCTGTGTGTAATTTAGAGAAATTTATTGCTATTCTGATCCAAACTTTAGGAGCATATGAGGAAATATGTTAAAAGTTTTGTTGATAATAGAGTCATAAATTACACAGCTATTCTTAGATTAAAAATAGCTAGAGAAAACCCAAGATTTGTGTGGGAAAAAAAAAAAACACTCGTGTATATCAAACAAATAAAGGTGAAAATAGTGTTAMGCATTAGTGATATTTTAACTACATCCTCTTTGAAACTGTTCTGTTTCTAAATTTGGTTGCTTATGTTTTCCTATAAATTTCTTTGCATTATTTTTGGAATTTCCTAAGACTCCAAATACCAGCCTTAGGACTATTGGGTATACTGAAAAAGGTTTTTCTAGACAAGTCTTACATTATCTCACACTCGGGAGACAACAGTCCAATCTTTTTTTCATCATAGAAAGGTCATAGGTGACAACAGAGTTCATATAGCTTGTATTTGGACCCCAGTAGAATCAACAGAAGAAAGAAAATGCTACTTAATTTGTTAGCTGTACTCTAAGAGGACCCTAGAGAGAGTTTGCAATCTGTAGGTGTTTGCCCTACATTAGCGTTATATTGATCACAGGGGTGATTTTTGTTTTATTTTAGAAACTACATGAGCTAACATTCCTTGATCTGTGCTGCTGTTTTGTTGTCTCTCTCTCCCTCTTCCTCTCTCTCTCTCTCTCTCTCTCTCTCTCTCTCTCTNCTCTCTCTCTCTCTCTCTCTCTCTCTCTCTCTCTCTCTCTCTCTCTCTCTCTCTCTCTCTCTCTCTCTCTCTCTCTCTCTCTCTCTCTCTCCTGTTCCTGTTCTTTAAATTGATTTAGTCTTTGGAATCTCAATTTTGCAAACCATGCCTTCAAATTTTTATACTGACCACTCATTTTCAGAGACAACACATTTAATGAAAACAGTAAAAGGAGTTCTATACAGCATGAAAACATTGCTAAACAAATAGTTTCCATTTAAATTTCTTTTGTCAGTTCCAACATATTTGCCTTGATAATTCTTTCAGGTTCTCATGTAAGATGTTTTCTATTGGAATCCTTTTAAGATACTATTTTAAGCTATAATGATTTTCATATAAGTAAATTATTAGAAATAAATTTAAGATAAGGTAAATGTATGGAAAGAGCTCTTCAGTCTAAGAAGCACTTTAATTGAGTTTTACTTGATCCTTGAAAACTCCTGAAATTATCTTGGAAATTGTTCTGAAATGGTCTTGGAAATTGTCATGGGAAAGATCTGTCCAAAGAGCCAGATTTTTGGACTCCTATCATTCCTGTTCACCTTATAACATATTGTATTTCAAAAAAGCTGTGTTAGTATACCCATGATCCAGCTTTGAAAATATTTTCCATCTTCATTTATTCACCCTTCGATTTGGTCTCAAAACAAATATTTTAATTTACACACTTGGAACACTTCATTCACTAGTTGTACAAAGACAAAGAGACAATTAAGTCTCCTTATGAAATTGGACCTAAGAGACTCTTAACTAGGATTGTTTACATACATAGATAATGTGAAAATATAGCTGGGGAGATAGCATTAGAGTGCTTGCCCATGCACAAAACTCCGGGTTGGATTTCCAGCACCATAAAACATAATAATAAAATAATAACAATAACAACAATAATAATAGATATGTGAAAAGAAAAGATCTAAAAACTGATCATTGTCAATAATGTTTGTTATTTGTCTTGTTCCTGCAGGTTTACACTATAAACAAAAATAATATTTAGCTTTGACATAAGGATATTTTTACTTATTTTTTTCCTTAACAATCCTATGAACTTGTGTTCCATAAGCCTTGATTTTTTTTTTTTCAGTATGTTCTGACTTTAGGGTCATTCTAGTTATCAAAAAAATTGATATGACAAATGAGCTGAAAGATAGTTATATTTTGCAAAGCTCTGTTATTTTAAAATGTTATTCAAAATGGAAAGTTTAATTTGGGAATATCTGTATTCATATATTTGTATTCATGCATTACTGCAATAAAACAACTCTTTGTGCATTCGAAATAAAAAAAAGAAATAACACAAGTAAAGTTAATTGAATTGAAGAAAATACTGTCCAATAAAACTTTTGATTTGGTTAATAGCATTTCCAAATATATGGAAAATACTAAAGATGAAGAAAATAGAGTACTATGTACTCTATCAATTAGTTGTGGAAGTTCATTTCACAAATGAACATAATAATCCACCATTTTTGGCCCATTAAAATACAGAATTATTTTAAGCAAACTTAGCTTCAAATATTTAATTTTTATAAAACTATATAATAGCTCTGGCTAACTAGAACTTCTAAAAGCTAATATTGGCATTATTATAATATTTTTTCCTGCTTCACTGCTACTTAGCTCCTGATTTTAGGTACTTGTATCATTTGTTATGATTTATGACCTTAATATTCTGTTTTACAACCATAATTTCCTCCACTTAAATATACTTTTAGTTCTAGATTTAATTAGATTTAGTGTTCTGGTTCAAGTTTTTGACATTTTTTATGATAAGTTGTTTAAATTTCATTTTCATGTCCTTCTATTTTTGTCTTCTACTTTTGGAGCTCCTTTAGGAAAAAACAAATGTGCTTTACCAAGTATTCTCTACATATGACTCAGTTATGGGGATTTGCTTTATTCTTCTCCATTGGATTTTTWAAAATCTAACTTACTCATCTCTCTCATTCAATATTTCTTTATTTCTGTCTCCTTTTTCCTCACTTTTGTTTTCAAAGATGTGATTACAATCACACCATTATTTTCATAATTTTATATGATGTAATATGCCTTTCCCAGATCTTTTATTTAATTTGGAAGATTGGAGAAGAATCTTTCTCTCTTTCACTAAGTTTGATCATTTTCTTTTTTGTGGATTTAGTCTTCTCTGTGTGTGCTATAGTTCAAAGGCTGGATATTGTTTTCTATCTTCTTTCCCACCACCTAGAGATGAGAAAGAAAATAGATAATTTGAAGGGTTGAGTACAGCCTTTGATGGATGTCAGGTTCTGATTCTTTCTCTCAGAGTCCATTAAATATTCTATACCCAGGTATGTAGTCCATACTGGACATAAAAAAAATCCTTGACTTGCCATTCAAGGCAGAACCTTGAAAATGGCAAGCCCAGTTTCTCTTGGGAAACAGACAGAATCTTTTGTGAAAATACAGTTTTCCTGGAGGAGAAAATGTCCCCAATTCTCTGAGTAAGGACGGGGACAGAGCATCAGATTGCTTGGAAATGATGATTTTTTTAATCTGAATGTAAGTACTGAATCAAAATGAAAACAAAACAGAACACAACAACTGATACTGATGGTAGGTCAGAAGAGATGGCAGAACTGAGAGTATGTCTGGGACAGCCTTTTTCCCTAGTCACTGGCATTTATGGATAGGATTTAAATTTCCTATCAGCATTGGGTATTATGGTGCTTTTAAATCAAAGAAAATTGTTGGTTCTATGTTCTACTCCCCCMAAGTGTTGTTTATTGGAAGGGGGACCATAACAGCAAGAGGCTACAGAGGGGATTTCCTCCATGGTGGCTGCTGAAGGTAGAAAGTGAAAGATCCAGGATTCCTTAGCCAGATTTCCCTTGATGGGCTTGATCAGGGAGATACAGTATACTCCAATATTCCCTAAAGAACTGACAGACCCCTAATAGAATCAGCATGTGACCAGCATAGATACATAAAAAGCTAAGAGGTAGTCAGTAATGTGAAGAGCACCAGTAACAAGGAAAAGGGAATCTGCCTCCCATAATCTGGAATCATTTAACAAAGATAATATTGTCTCTACTTATCTTCTATTTTTAATAACCTAAATTAAGGAATGAAGGGGAGAAGAGTCAGAGGAAACAAGAAAGCAGATAATTCCCCCTTCTCTGTTCTAAGTAATTGAAATCACTATTCTGGACCATACTAATGGAACAGATGAGAGTTTTGAATAGGCTTGATAATAATTTTAATACTTAGTTGGGTGTGGTGGTGTATGCTTGTAATCTCAGCAGCTCAGGAGKTTGAGCAGGAGATCGCAAGTTCAAAACCAGCCTCAGCACCTTAKTGAAGTACTAAGTGACATAGCAAGACCCATTCTCAAAACAAAAAAAGGGCTAGGAATGTGGCTCAATTAAGTGTCCCTGGGTTCAATATCGGATATCCAATATAATAATAATAATAATGGAAAATAATGAAATAAAAATATAATAATAATAATTTTAATACTTGACAGTGATTGAAAAGTTATGAAATCAGGATTAGATAGTGTTAAGAAAACATGCTACTGAAAAAGCAAAAGAACTTCAATGACGCATAGTTGGTAGTTGTTCCAGGAAAATAAAAATTTCATCTTTACTTCAATATTTATTCTGCCAAACCAGTTTACATAATTATTTTGATGAAAATATTTCATAAACAATAATAGCAAATGTCAAAATTACCAAAATTTAGGAAGCTTATTGAAGTTTCAGAAAAGTAAAACCTCATTTAACAAAAAACTTCTATAACACTTCTCAAAAACAACCTTAACTTCTGAAACACTTCCTAAAAACACCTCTACTCTTCCACTCATATAAACACTTGAAATATGAGCAGATTTTAAATTCTCTTTATGGAAAACCAAGTTCATGTGGCTCCAGTCAAATTTTATATCTATAGCTATATCTATCTATCAATCTATCTATCTACTATAGATATATATATATAGGTATAATATTATAATAAAGATAAAATATTATTATCAAGTAATATATTTTATATATATAATTTATATGAGAGTTATTTTATCTACTTATATAGATACCTCC